CCCCCATTCATTGCCAAGAGCTTTCTCTTGTAATCATCACTGAGGTTACTTACAGGAATGACTTCACCTGTGCAAAAGAGAATGTCAATGTGGTTACGTGATTCATCTAGCGCGCGAACACGTAGACCCCTGAAATCCGAACTCTCTTTGCACGCTGCCTCCAACATGCCGATGAGGCGTTGGTGCCAAAGCTCCACGGTGCCACCTTTGCCATCAGACACATCGAGGCGTTGCAAGAGGGGGCCATGTGATCTAGGTTGAAAAGCAACAGCCCGCTTCGCTCGGGCCTGGGTTCGTCCCGAGAAATGTTCGGGCAGCCCGTGCTCGCGCACTTGGTCGAGCAACCCCTTCCAGCCAGAAGCCGCAACATAACTATCTGTACTGTTGTCTGACAATCTAGGCCTCTCATCGGGCGGCGCTGCCATGGCTGCTGAGCGCTAAAGCTACATGCTACGGACACGACAGAAGCAACATGGCTTGGGAACTCGTCAGATTTCAGCTTCGGGGTGTTAACACTGCAAAAATCATCATTGTCACGATCTTGGTCGCAGCATCATCATATATCCCATCTCCCCCCTCCGCTCCTCGAATGTCCTGCCGTCTCCGACGCGGTCGGTCGGTCGACGTTCGGTCGGTCATTGGGGCCGACTGAGGCTCGATTCTCGTTCGGTCGGCGCTAGAGCCTTGAAGTCGCCGCAGCTGGATTCTCGATCGGTCGGCGTTGGAGTCCGGAAACCACCGCGGCTGGATCTTTGGTCGGTCTTATTCCGAGCCCCGTTGCAAAGGCTGGAGTCTCGCTCGAACGACGCGTTCTGGCAGCCGGCCATTTGGTCAGTCGCCGCCCCGCCCCGCCCCCTATCCCGAGAGCGCCGCGGCGCCCGCTGGCCCAGCTGGACGCGCCAGGTCGGGCCACAGAGGTTTAAGACGGGCGAGGGCGGCGAGGACGAATGAGGAATAGCTGAAGGAGCGATGGGGGAAGGGACGAAGGAGCGACGAGACCAGCGGCAGAGGAAGAGGGTAAGCAAAGTGGGGGGGCCAGAAGGAGTGGAACGGATGAGGTGGATGATCGAGGATGGTATTGGTCACGCCGCACTTGCGCCTGAAACGCGTCACATCGAATTGCGGCCAAATCCATTGCGCCCTCGCCCGCGCTAAACCCACTCGTCGACAAACTACCCCAGAACGTTCGACACAAGCCCCACTTGCAGTGACGATCGAATGTGACACCTGCCTTCTGTAGAACGTATTTAGCAAACTCAGTGACTCGCGCAGCCGCGGGGCCCTCGGCTTTAGCCTTATCTTCGGCCCTGCAGTAGCGCAGCGACGTATACTGGTTCCTAGCACGGCCTTCGCACTCAGAAGAAGCGATGGTCCGCGCACAGCTGACGCGCTTCCAAGCTGCCTCGCGCCCCCAACCCCAGCGGCACAAACACAAAACTACGCGGCGAACGTTAGACGCCCAAGGAGAACGCTCGAAACCGCGAGACGAACCGAACGCACCCTCGGAGCCCTCGAGGGCGCGGAAATCGTTTCGGGGTCAGCCGATGGGATTTGCTCGGGCCACGGCCTGCGGCTGCGCCCGTCTTGACCGCGGCCTTGGGCATGGCAGCGCTGGGCTTCCTCTCCACCGCCGCCGAGGCCTTTTGCCGCCTTCTTGGCTGAGGCTGCGGTCTTTACCGCGGCTTCGGACTCAGCTTTGGCCGCTGCCTTGGCGCGTTTGGCCCCAGTTTTGACCGCGGCTTTGGCCTCCTTCTCCGCTGCCTTTTTCGCGAGCTTCCCCCCCCCCCCCCCCCTCCCCCCCCCTCCCCCCCCCCCCCCTTTGTCCGCTTAGAAGCCGCCAGGGGGGTGGCCCCTCAGCCTCGGCCGTTTCCCTCACCTTCCGCCCCAGCTCTGCTGCCTGGTCGGCGAAGCCCCCATCCTCGGCAGACGCCGTCGCAGCCGCGGGCCCCGCAGCAATGGCCAGCGGCAGCGAGGCCTTCTGGATGACGGCAGGCAAGCCCGCAGTCGATGGCGAGCCGCCCGTCAGCGACGCAGCCGCCGCTGACGCCGCAGAGCATGGGCTGCATGCGGGCTGATCCTTCAGCGTCTGCGGCTTAGCGAACGCGACGGGCATCTCGCCGCTGCGGGGCCTCTGTTCAGTAGCGACACCCTGCAGCAGGAGCCTCGTCAACAACCCAAGGTCGACGACGCGTCCTCTACAGATGAACGATGATGTGCCGTCTTGGATGCGACCTGTGTTGGGCGTTGCTGCGGTTTGGCCCTGATGCAGTTGTGGCTGGCGCGCTTGCCCATGATCTCAACCTCTGCCTCGACCATCCTTGAAGTAATGTCGGCAGGCTGGTCGGCTGGACCGCCAGCCCCATCATGTGCGAGAGCCAACAAGGCAGGTGATAAAGACGATGGGTTGTAGTCGTAGTTCCTGGTGCGCCAAAGGTGTCAGGGTCGGGGCGCGTCGAGCGCCTGAATCTTCGACTGGACGTCCTTCATGAGGTCGCGCTTCTCGCTGTGGGCAGGCGGACCGAGCGCGCCAGCCGCCAGCAGAATGGCGACTGATCTAGACTGCAACTTCCCCGGGGCGCGCGCCATTCCCAGTCGCCGCATGCGACGTGCGATGCACGTCAGCCCGGGTTCCCGGGGCAAGTCGGCGTTCTGGATTGCTCCAGTAGGTATTCGCGAGGTATTTCTCCAATGAGTAGCAATATTGTTGCGCCCTGCATATCGCTGGGCCCGCCGCAGCACTGGGCAGGACTGCCGTCTGGAGAGCCCCCGCCATTTGAGTCATCTGACCTTCTGTCCACGGACCCTATGTCATCTCCGTCGCGACGCCCGCGGCTCGGCCGACCGTCATGGGCGCTGCTCGGCCACTCGAGCAGCGCAGGGCCTTGCACTACGAGTTCAAGAGACCGTCGACGTTTATTCCAGCGCTGCGCCGGGCATGGACGAAAGCAACGCGACGGCGAATCGCGCCTACAATAACAGCGGCGGGGTCGCCAGACATGGCCCTTGCACTACTTGAAGGCGCGGGTGAGCTCAGCCTCCGGAATCTCTGTACCTCAAGAAAACGGCGACAACAACGATTGCAATGATAGCCATGACACGGCGGGGCCTCATGAAGGGCAGACACCATCAGACTAAAGAGGAGGAGGAGGAGGAAGAGGAGGAAGGGGAGAGGGATGACGAGGAGGAGGACGAGGAGGAGGAGGAGGCAGGAGGAGGGGGGGATGGAGAGGGGGGCGGAGCAGGAGGGCCGCGAGGTCTTCCTTGGAATTACGATTGATTTTTTTGTGTTGGGAACGGCCCCGCTCTGTCCGCCAGAAAAAAAAAGCTTGCTCGGGGGGGCGAGAAGGGGGGGAGGCCCTCCCCTAAAACACACATTGAGGCGCGTTCTGGATTTCGGCTCGCCATCAAATTGCACGCGCCAGCAGCAATAGGAGGAGGGGGAGGAGGGGGGGGGGGGGGGGGGGGGGGGGGGGGGGGGGGGGGGGGGGGGGGGGAGGTGGGGGGGAGGCGGAGCAGGGGTGGTGGAGGAGGAGAATTGGATGAGAAGGAGGAGAAGATAGCGGGGGCTCGGGCAGCGTTTGAAACAAAAATCATATCCAGAAAACTGATTTGTTTTTCAATAGGGTAAGCTGGTGGGAGGAGGGGGGGGGCAGGAGGAGGAGGAGGAGGGGGGGGAGGAGGAGGGGGAGGCAATGAATCATGAGGCCCCCAAGGGTCGCGCGGGCAGCGGCACGCGATGACGGCGTCGACGGCGAGCAATCACCTGCCTGGGCGGATGTTCTGGAGCCTCGCAGACCGTTCAAATTGTTTTTCCGCATTCCAGATTAATCTCCCGGCGGACCGTCTTTCTTGGAAGCCCGTTCTGGGCGAAGGTTCCGGACGCGTTTCGCCTGGACATCGCGCGGCTTTCTTCGGAGGGGGCCGGGGGGGGGGGGGGGGGGCGGCGCGGGCCTTCTCTAACACCCGAGCCCCTCTGGTGACCCCCCCCCACCCCCCACCCTCCCTCTGGGGTCGCTGTCATTTTATCTAGCTATGTGTACAAACCATTACATATATTGGCACCATCGTCACGGCCCTGGCTGCCTCGCCACCGTCGCACTATACCGTCGCCGCGACCACTAACATCGGCAATGTCACCATCCCATTGCCATTGTCAGCACCACCGTCGAGTGAGCACGTCGGCGGAGCAAAGTGCCACCTAGCACATTCGCCCAACGGTGCAAAGTGCCTCCTAGCACTTCGCACCACGCGCACATCTCACATGAAGATGATGTTAGATGCGCGCGCGGTGCAAAGTGCGAGGTGGCAATTTCGACAAATCTAAAATGTGCCAGGTAGCACTTCGCACCATTGGGCGAAAGTGCTAGGCGGCACTTTGCACCACCGACGCGTTCGAGATTGTCACCTCCTTTCGTCGAGCATGGAGCTTTGACTCCACTCAGATGTTGCAATCGCCATCATCACATGTATCGCTAGCCAGCCTCACCGTTGCAATGCTCGTCGCGTCGGTCGTCCTTCTAGTTGGCTTCGTCGTCGGCATCACGTCCCCATGTATTCTCCCATGGATAGCTCACAATTCCTTTTCCAGATCCTCCACCCCGTCTTCCTTGGGGCCCCGCCCGCGGCTTCTCGGCTTGTTTTTTTTACGTAACGTTCCAACGTTTGCGGGCGATGTTTGGACAGCCTAAGTGCGAATCAGTGTCGGGCTCGGCCCCAGGGCCCCGCCCCACGGAGCCCCGACTAAAAGATACCGAAACAACGCCACGAACACAGGCTAGCGCGAGAGCGCTGCTCCCGCGCGCTTGAGCGCGACAGCGCCATGCGGCCCCGTGCCAATCACGCATTCGCATGTCTACTCGCCTTAGGCTTTCTGTTCATCGCCGACACTCCCTTCCTTATCACTGTCGCGCGGGCAGGTGTTGCACTGGGCGTGAAGTGCTTCGAGAACCGCAACGACCTCGTTGCAATTTGCCTGGAAGACCGCGCGGCCAGCTGAGCGCCTTACCATGCTCTTGAGCGCGGTCTTCCCAGAGGCCTCGTCGTTGCATTGAACGCGGCAGGGGGCACGGTAATCCACCGACGTGACCAGGCCGCCACGCACCTCAACAAACCACGTACCAGTGGGCTCGTCCACGACAAAGGGCTTCACACCCGAGAGTGTCACGTTGAGCTCAGTCAGACCAATGGAGAGCCGAGCGTCGTGGGGAACCGTCGGCAACGCGTTCACCTGCACGGTGACGTCCCCTGCCGTCGGGGCCTCGATCTGAATCGTCGATGGGACCCCGTCGAGCAGCTCCTTGCGAGGGCGCTTGGGGCCAGGGCCGTCAGCGTCGTCACGCGGGTCTTCGGCGAGTGGGCCCGTGCCAATGACGCGCTTCATCGCCGCGTCCGCGGCGACTTTCCTCGAGCGAGCGAGCCCGCCCAGCATGCGAGTGCCTAAATTACATATGTGTTCGATGAATTTCTCATCGAGGCGATCCGCTGTCACGCACTGGACGCCATCGACCACGCCTGGGCGGACATACCACGAATCCGCACTGTTGGGCGCGCTAGCATTTGAGATCTGGAAAAAACCCTTGCTGAACAGACGCCACCACGCGAGAGCGCACGCGCGGGGCGCCGAGCTGGGCAAGTCAGAAAGCCGAGCCAAAATGGCCGACCGAAAACTCAAGGGCGCGCATGATGTTGTTTGGTGCCCAAGCTCTGGTTGCGCCAAACCCGTCGCAGCCGCGTGCGGCTGGCAGGTGTCTCATGGGTGGTGGGTGGCGGGTGGGTGGTGGGTGGGTGGGTGGAGGATGGTTGGTGGGTGGTGGGTGGGTGTTGGTGGGAGGTGGCTGGGTGGGCGGTGGGTGGGTGGTGGTGGTGGTGGTAGTGGCGGTGGTGGGTGCGCGGTGAGTGAGTTGGTGGCGGCGGCGGGTTGGCGCTCGTTTTACATGTCCCCTTCCCCTCGCGCGGCAAGCCCTGAGCCGTGAAACCCCCACCCCCCCCCCCCCCCCCCCTCCCCAGTTGCAGGGTGTTCCGAAGCAGCGCGAGCCTTCGTTACGCGGCAGCGCTGCATCAGCACACGGACACCACGTTCGTCTTCGACCGCTTCCACGCGCCCAAGACAAACGCCTCGCCCTTCAAGCACTGGAAGCGTTTCTTTGCGAGATCACTACCCTCACACGGGATTAAAATGCCAACGACTGCATGGATGAATTGCCCTCTCGCGCATCAAGAGGCGATGCGTAGAGAAAAGAAGGCAGTCGACGCAGGGTTGGCTTGATAGCGAGACCGCGTGCGAGACAGGACGCGCGTCGCACATTTTCTCGAGCACGCGGCCACGCGCGAGGCAGCACCTGCTGCTTGAAGGCAGGCACAACAAACTGAACTGCCCCAAGCGGGAGCGAACACAGCAAACGACGAGGCGCCCATCCACAAGAAACTCCGCGGCTGCAGACATGCATTGATGGCGGCGCCCTTTCACCACGGGATCGTCACTTTCGCCTCGCTGTCGTTTCTCGCCGCCCCCTCTTGCCATCTCTTACCTCTCTCCCGCCCAAGCCACCGCCTTGCGTGCTCCCGAGCTCAACGAGGGGGCGCGATCTGCTGCCCTCGTCATCGTCGCCACCCCCACCCCCCATCACCCCCCCCCCACCCCGCGCCCCTCATCATTCCCTGTTTGGATTTTTCCGTGTGTGATATGTATTATGTACACAATATACATATATATACATATATGTGTCATATATATACTCACCAACCACCACCAACCACCACCACCACCCACCCAAACCCCACCCCCTCCCAGACCCCCCCCACCCCCCACGGCCCCTTAGTCCATCCCCCCACCAAAGTATCTCCGATTCATCGCCTCTCCCACTTTCCTCCCCCCCTCCCTTCCCCCTCGTTATGCGTTGTTCTTGGCGCCCCCCACCCCCCCTCCTCGCCCTCCTCATCTCCCTCATCCCCCCCGCCCCCGCCCTTTTACACCTGCAGGGCCTAAGTCTTGCGACGCCTGGCCGGGCCCGCCGCCGCCTGCCTCTTAGGCTCGCGGCTGAGCTTCCGATGGGAAGCAGACAGCGCCTCGAACGATGACCGAGTCCGAACTGCACCCGAAACGACGGCGCCCGGGCTGGCGAGGATTGGAGTTGAAAAAACAGCATTTCCCACATTGCTGCCGAGAGAGCAGCTCATGGACACCTCCACCTTCGCGGACGTCCGCGCTAAACTCGGGACCTCGTCCTGCTTCGCACATGGAATCGCCTATAATGAGATAGCAACTCTAGCGGGCGCGCAGGCGGCGTCGTCAGACACCAGGGGCAACTTTTATTCCGGGGCCAACCACACCTTCATCGACGACGCGAACGATGGGAGCTCGGCGGCGCATTGGGATCCGTTCCTACTGCCGGCGTCACTGGGACAACGCGAAGCTTGGATTTCGCAAAAGCCCCATCTGCCACAGCGCTCTGGACGTCGGCCTTCGGTTCACAAGTGCACTTCACAGAAAGAGCAGGGCGGCAGGCCTCGCGGAGGCCACCCGAGCAATCTTCAGCTCGGCCACGACCTGGTCGATCTGCACGGCCTTGACCTCCTGACCCAACGGGGCAGGCCATCTCCCGCCCCCCTCTTCTTCGCCATCCTCCTCCAGAGCCTGCCCCTCATCTTTCCTACCCTTCTCCTCCATGCCCCCCTTCTCTTTCCCCCCCGCCCCCCCCCCCCCCTCCTCAACTGAAGAAAACTCAATTTTCTGGACATTGATGCGAATTGTTTAAACACCCCCAAATAAAAAAACCCCCCCCCCCCCCCCCCCCCACCCACGCCCCACAACACCTCGGCGGCATCCGGGCGGCAGCAAGCAAGCCAGAAAAAACAGCAGCAGCAAGCCGCAGAAGCGTGCGGCCCGCAGCCACGGGCTTGTGCGCGGCAAGACTGCTCGGGGAGAGAGGGCGCGGGGGGGACTGGAAGCCATTCCTCCAAATTCGTGCTGCTGGTTTCCAGAAACGCGCCATGACATCGCCCTTCCTTTTCCCCTGCCCCCCCACCACCACCACCACCACCACCACCACCACCACCACCACCACCACCACCCGCGCATGCACACACACACTCACACACACACACACACACAGCCCCCGTCGACGCCGTCACTCTTGAGCGAGAGCGCTTGCATGGGGATATCCTTGAAGACGTGGCTTTCGCCGCCCCACGCCCCCCCCCCCCCCCCCCCCCCCACACACACACACAACCCACACACACACACACACCACACCACACACACACACACACACGCACACACACACACACACACACACACACACACACACACACACGATCCCTGACACGCCAGCGTGCGAAAATTGCATGTGCATATGCAGACTCGCGCCCATGACGTCCAAACCGAGGTTAGGTGGGGTCTTGGCGGTGACGCGAAACCTGTGCCCATGCATTGTAAATGCGAATGTGCATTACATGTGGACATGCATCTAGACGCGCGCGCAGCCTGCCATCACGCGCAAAGTGGAACTCGCGAGGTCAATAGGTAATTCGACTAGCGCGACTCCCACCTCGGCCCAACGAAACAACATGGGAGCGCTAAAATAATTGGGGGGGTGGAGAAGGGGGAGGGGAGGAGGACGGGGGGGGGGGGGGGGGGGGGGCGCGCGTTCGAGAGGAAGCAAAGGGCAGTTCATGAGTTATATATATACGTATACATATACATATATATATATATATGTGCGCGTACACCTATTTATTTATATCTACAATCATACATATACATATATATATGTAAATATTCACAAACATGCATACTTACATTCATAAACACATACATTTACACATTATAACGGGGGGGGCAAGATTGCCGGAGGGAAGTGGGTGGGTGGAAGAGGGAGGAGGAGGAGGAACAGAAGGATTCGGAGGCGTCTGCTACCTGAAACGAGTCCACTCCTTTCCGCCGGGAAAAACAACGGAAATGCGCATTAACCCGTAAGGATATGGCGTGGGGGGGAAAAAGCACATCGGCGGCGCGCTTGGATTTCGGCATGCCAGTAACTTGCAAGCATTGACAAACACACCTCCCAAT